CATCCAGCAAACAGTGATATTTGCACAATAGTTTCACCCCACAATCAGATCTCCCTGAGGTACACATCGTGTTGTTCCATCTCTCTGCATTATCCACCATGTACAACCTGGTCCCTGAGCAAAGACAATCCCACAAATGGGTTTGTCTGTACTCGAGGCAGGATTGATCCACACTGATTTCCCTAACAAACCTCTGACATGTGCCACTAGGATTTTATCTCCGTCTACTATATTCAGGGGCTCAGACTGGGCAGGACCTGCTCGATTGGTGGAACCTCGGCTGTTAACTAACCAGGTGGCCTTTGCTAAATGTTGCTCCCAATTTTTGAAAGATTCCCCCACCCAATGCTTTTAAGGTGGTTTTTAACAGTCCATTGTACCTCTCCACTTTGCCTGCAGCTGGTGCATGGTAGGGGATGTGGTACACCCACTCAATGCCATGTTCCCTAGCCCAGGTGTTGATAAGGCTGTTCTTGAAATGAGTCCCATTGTCTGACTCAATCCTCTCAGGGGTACCATGCCTCCAAAGGACCTGCTTTTCAAGGCCCAGGATGGTGTTACGGGCTGTAGCATGAGACACAGGGTAGGTTTCCAACCATCCAGTGGTGGCTTCTACCATTGTGAGCACGTAGCGCTTGCCTTGGCGTGTCTGGGGCAGTGTGATGTAGTCAATCTGCCAGGCCTCCCCATACTTGTACTTGGACCACCGCCCACCATACCACAGGGGCTTCACCCGCTTGGCCTGTTTGATGGTAGCGCATGTCTCACAGTCATGGATAACCTGAGAAATACTGTCCATGGTTAGATCCACCCCTCGGTCTCGTGCCCACTTATAAGTGGCATCTCTACCCTGATGGCCTGAGGCATCATGGGCCCATCGTGCTAGGAACAACTCTCCCTTGTGTTCCCAGTCGAGGTCTATCTTTGATACCCCTATCTTCGCAGCCTGATCTACCTGCTGATTGTTTTGCTGCTCTTCATTAGCTCTGCTTCTGGGGACATGGGCATCTACATGGCGAACCTTCACAGGTAGCTTCTCTACCCGGGTAGCGATATCTTTCCACTCTTCAGCAGCCCAAATTGGTTTTCCTCTACGCTGCCAGTTAGCTTCTTTCCACCTCTCTAGCCACCCCCACAGAGCATTGGCTACCATCCATGAATCAGTGTAGAGGTAGAGCTTTGGCCACTTCTCCCTTTCTGCAATGTCTAGGGCCAGTTGAACGGCTTTGAGTTCAGCAAACTGGCTTGATCCACCTTCTCCTTCAGTGGCCTCTGCAACCCGTCGTGTGGGACTCCATACAGCTGCTTTCCACTTCCGATTCATCCCTACGATGCGACAGGAACCGTCAGTGAAGAGAGCATAGTGTGTTTCCTCTGCTGGCAGTTGGTTATATGGTGGAGCTTCTTCAGCCCGTGTCACTGGTTCTTCTTCTTCATCTGCGACACCAAAACTTTCACCTTCGGGCCAATTTGTAATTACTTCCAAAATCCCAGGGCGATTCAGCTTACCAATATGGGCACGCTGCGTAATGAGAGCAATCCACTTGCTCCATGTAGCACTGGTGGCATGGTGGGTGGAGGGAACCTTTCCTCTGAACATCCACCCCAGCACCGGTAGTCGGGGTGCCAGGAGGAGTTGTGCTTCTGTGCCAATCACCTCTGAGGCGGCCTGGACTCCCTCCTAGGCGGCCAAGATTTCCTTCTCTGAGTCTTACCTTCCTTCACTTCATGCACCCGTTGTGCCAGAGCACCAGTAGGTTTTCCATCCCATTTCCTCCTGTTTTCTCCGCAATCGCGCAGGAAGAACCACAGCTCAGTTCGTGGGGTGTACCTTCTCTCACCATCTGAGGAATGTCTACGTTGGATACCAGAACCTCTGATCTGTACTGCTGAGATTTGGAGAAGGTCCTCCTTTATCTCCTCCCTGAGTCTCTTATGATTCTCCTCTATCTTATCTTCTAATTTCTGCAGACGTGTTTCCACTGCTGCAATTCTGGCATGGGTTGGGCCATGTACAGCATCTGCATATGCTCGGAGTTTCCTTGCCATTTCGAGCACGGTCTCATCCCTCTCATCTTGCTTCATTATTGCTAAGGCAGAAGCGTAGTCATGTGGCCCAAGCCGTACAAGTTTTAGCCACATCACAGATGTACATGGTACCAAGTCTGGATTCCTAGTTGTTATTTCATCTGAGAAGATAATCTCTGCCACTGCCATTTCTCTCAGACGTTGGATCCCTTGTTCTATAGTCTTCCACTGGGTTTGCTGCATATAAAGATCATCTGCACACAGGTATCTTTGTGCTACACTTTCCAGAACCCGTGCCCAGAGGCTGTGAGGGTTAGCCCCCCTCATCATTCCTTGATCAATAACAGGATCATGTGACAGGGATCCCAAATGTCTTGCCTCAGTACCATCCAGAATTGTAGCCTCACCTGCAGCATCCCAAAGACGGACCAACCAACTAATTACAGACTCATCAGGTCGTCGGGTATAATCCTTCCTCAGGCCACGAAGGTCCTTTAGGGAAAAGGACTCAGTATTGGCCTCTGATCTTGTACCAGTTGCTTTGACTTCTGATTTTATGTCAGCAGGCACTGAGGGTCCCTCTCCTGCATTATCATCATCATCGTCATCATCCACTGGTCGATTGGTCTTTTCTGTGCGCTTCCCACTTCTTGTGCTAGTAGCAACAGCCATTGGTTGAGGCTTGGCTGCTGAGTCTGGTTCAGCTGCTAGCTTTGAGCCGGGGGTGTTGGCTGCAGCCTGAGTGACTGGGATAGCTGCTGATTTATCTCCCTGCCCCCCTTCCTCTGTCTGCTGCCCTACAGTATCTAGCAGGGTGCGATAAGCATATGCCAGGGCCCAGCTCACTGCAATGATCTTTTTCTCCTTAGAGTTATCATGGCACTTCTCTTTCAAGTACTTCGCCACCTCAGCCGGATTCTGAATTTGTTCACTAGGAAAGTCCCAGGCTATAGGGTCAGAAAATTCCTTTAAAATTTGGCCCATCTCCTCCCATTTCCCACACCACTCAGGATTTTCACACCTGGGTCTACTCCTGGGTCAGAGGTCTCATCAGCCCCTCTAGAAATCTCAGCCCTCGTTCTAGAGAGACTGCAGACTGTATAGAGAAAGCTTACTAGATTAAACACCAGGAAGATGGTCTCCTTAACAGTCAGGGGAAACTGAACATTCTCTAATAGGGAGGTAACAAATTCAGAGGAGAAGAAGGAAAGCAAAGGCTGAAAAGCCTCATCCCCTACTTCCCCTCTAACAAACTGGCTGTACAACCATAACCATGAACCATACATTCCAGGAACAGACCTCAGCACCTTTATAAACCCTCTGGAAGCTATTACACCCAAGCACAGCACGATGGATATTCTGGTCAGTGCCCTTCTACTGCAAAACCTACGTATTAGGGACAATACCGGAGCTATTCCTGGATAAAAAAATAAACCTAGGGACCACAGGGGGATTAAGATCTGAAAAACCCCTAGGGACCAGAGACACATGCAGGCCTTCACCCCAAGAGACAATATTAATTCAAACAACATAACCAGTAACTGCTCCATACCCACACAAAATAATTGGAACAAAAATATGATTACAACAGGGTTTTTTCCACTCTCTCGAGCCCCGAGTTGGGCGCCAAAATATTTGTCCTAGTTTAGGGCAAATTTGGGGAAAACCCAGGAAATAAACCCCCACGGCCCCTCTCCACCCACCTGGTTCAGGGAAAAATTCCCTCTGAGAGAGAAGTGGAAAAGAACCTGTTTATTCAACAACAAAGCACTCCCCAGCACCAAAACAATTAACAACACAAGATGACAACAAAACTCTTTCACCCCTCTGAAGAGCTGAACAAATCCAGAAGGTCTTTCCTGGGAGTGGTCGCCCGGGTCTGGACGCTGGGGATTGCTCTCCAGCACTGGGGATGGCTGCTGCAGATCACCAAATGCAGGCTCCTGGTGTTCCTTGGTGTTTCCCAGATCCCAGTCCAGAGCAGGCTGGATGATATTCAGAAAGAGGAAGGGAAAAAAGCAACAGTCCAGGGAAAGAATTGGACTGCTTAACCTAACTAGGAAGCAAAGCAAGAAAGCAGGCAAAGCAAGCAAGCCAAGCAAGCAAGCAAGCAAAGCAAGCAAGCCAAGCAAGCAAGCAAAGCAAAGCCAGCCAGCCAGCCCTAGCCTTTTCTAGCTTTCCAGCAGACATGGGGGGAGGTGAACCAGATGATAACACAGCAAAACAAACCTTCACTTTCAGAGTCAGTTCTGAAAGCACAGAACATAATATCAAACGTAAACAGAACACACGATTGGAGATACAAACACCATAACAGTCACCCTAGGACAACCTGTCTGTTTCTTCCAGTGTTGCTGCCTTCAACTGGAAGTATAGAGGAAAATATAATTTGTGTTCCAGAATACTGGGATATATCTGGAAGTGTGTATATATCTATCTTTGCAGCATAAGCAGCCAGTCAAATCACAGTACACTCTGATTCCTGTATGTATTGTTGAAGCAAATGACCAAAAAATGCAGATGGGGAAAAATCTGATTGGTTAGATTGCCCAACAGGAGTTGACATGTTCCCACTTTAAAGATTTATATACATAGAGGGAGGACACACAGGATTATTTAATTTGAATAATTGAATAATTCTGCTTTGTTGTTGGTTGGGGACAGGAAGGCTTTTTTTGTGGGATGGTGATGGTTTTGTTTGGTTTTTTTTCTTCCCCTCAAATAAAACAGTGTTTCTCATCTAGCCTAGAAGGACCTGCAGTTGGAATTACTCTCTGTATGCTATTCTAAGACAGCTGAGTAGTATTTATCAAGTCTTTTGACATATCAGCTAAAAAGAGGTAACAGAGCGGAGAAGGAAAGAGGCTGCCATTTTGAACCTCAGTGTATTTGAGTCACTTAAATCCCTGGTTGTTGGTATATTGTCTTGGTTTTCCAATAGGATGAATTTGTACTTTGTGTTGCTTTAATAGGTGATGCGGATGACACTGTCAACATTGAATTGGCGACGACGGGAAATGGTGAGGTGGTTGGTAACATGTGCAACAGAAATAGGTATGTTCTGAGATGCTTCTCAAGGTCCCCTGTATTTTTGTCAGCTAATCTTAGAGGGCTTGATCTTGTTTGTCAACACTCAGGCTCTGCAAATATCTCACACCTTCTGTTTCTCTTTAAAATCCCTTTTTTAGAAGACAATAATTATGTCAGTGATGAGTGGGCTTTTTGAGCATGTAATAGAATAGGCACAGGCCAAGTGAGACAATACTTGACTAATGAAGTGTAACTTCTTTCCCCTTCAAGATAGGGACATCCATAACCCAGATTTCCCCTTCTTCCCTCCATGTTGGGTTTGGGTTTGAGGCTGCAGCAAAGAAAGGGGTAGTGGTTATGGGATGTTACACTATGCTACAACTTTGCTTGCTCTGAAGGGTGAGGCTCCAAAAGACTGGTGAGAGCACTCTTATCAGCAGTGGGGAAGATGAACCAAAAAACAGGTGAATAAAATGCTGAGGTTGCATTCCACTGTATGGCAGACAAGATCTCATGAAAATCTCATTGTTCACATTGTTTGCTTTCTTGGTTTCATTTTTTAAGCCCCTTTGTAAATCCAAGCTTAGAGTGTAATGCTTCTTTTTTATGTGGCTATGACATTGTGCAGGCCTCTCATCTGCACTGGAAAGCAAACCAAACATTAACATAACCCAAGACTTTCTACAATATTGCTCAGAGTATTTCCCTAATAAAAATCTTTATGTTCAAGTGTATATCAATTCAATACAAGATGTATCTGAAAAGCTTATTGGGAGAGGGTAGAAGTTAGGATTTTAAATTTTATTTCTTTTAAAATTGTGCTTAGTATTAAATGCCATGGTCTTCTATTAAATGAGACATTTGGCATGCTTTCATATTCTTTTGTGCATGCGCTGTGCCGTGAGATGCACATTAAGAAAAGAAGTTAAAATTGCGTTTTAAGTGTTTGGTGTGAGGGCTGCTTTTGAGTGATATAAGACCAAATGAGCCAGGACTTGTTATACAAATTGTCTTAGATAACAAGTAAAACAGCTCAATTTTCTCACTGGGATATAAAAGCTTACCTTGCAGGATTTTTTGTTATCTGCATTTCAGCGATTGCTACAGAGTGTACACAGCCTTTGTTTTAATCCCCTTTTTCAGACATGTTATCTGGTTTAGCTTTTCTTGCTGAAGCTAGTCTCCTTCAGTGTACTGGCAACCTCTTAGAACTTTGAATATAATCTTTTGCTGAACATCTATATCTGCTAGGTTTTGTCAATTGTGCCTAATCCTTTCTTTCTCTCCCCAGGTGTTTATGCACTGGATAGTATAATGCAAAACTGGTTTACACTTTTCACTCCAACAGAAGCCACTAGTATTGTTGCTACAACAGTGATGTCCAACAGCACCATTGTCCGTCTGCATCTGGACTGTCATCAGCAGGAGAAGCTGGCCAGCAGTGCTAGAACACTTGCTCTACAGTGTGCCATGAAGGATCCTCAAAACTGTGCCCTCTCTGCACTGACTCTGTGTGAAAAAGATCACATAACTTTTGAGACCGCTTACCAAATTGTTCAGGATGCTGCTACAACCAGCATGAGCTACTCACAACTTTTTACTATAGCACGATACATGGAGCACCGTGGTTACCCTATGCGGGCCTATAAGCTAGCCACTTTGGCCATAACGCATCTCAATTTGAGTTACAATCAGGACACACACCCTGCCATTAATGATGTTCTCTGGGCATGTGCGCTCAGCCATTCTCTTGGGAAAAATGAGCTAGCAGCTATAATACCTCTGGTGGTCAAAAGTGTCAAGTGTGCTACAGTACTGTCAGATATTTTGCGCAGATGTACTTTGACCACTCCTGGCATGGTGGGACTCCATGGAAGGAGGAATTCTGGTAAGCTCATGTCACTGGACAAAGCCCCTTTAAGACAACTCTTAGATGCCACAATCGGAGCTTACATTAATACAACTCATTCACGTCTCACTCACATCAGCCCACGACACTATAGTGAGTTTATAGAGTTCCTCAGCAAGGCCCGAGAGACCTTCTTAATGGCTCATGATGGACACATACAGTTTACACAGTTTATTGATAACCTAAAACAAATCTACAAAGGCAAAAAGAAACTCATGATGTTGGTTCGTGAGCGGTTTGGTTGATGAAAATAAGTGAAGGAAGGAGGTGGTTTGGTGTTACTTGAGCCTGCCTTTGTATCTTTTTGAACTTAAAGAAACAAAGCCACACTGGTATTATATGTGTATAGTTATACTGAGTTTGAAAACTAAACTGTCATGTTGTGAAAGTTTGTGTGTTTAAATTTTTTTCCTTTTTTCTGTTTTGTGTGAGAGAAAGGTTAAAAAAAGGTTTGGTTTACACTGAGTATATGTTGTCAAGTGGCAAAAGTCCACATCACTCTCCTGTTCTTTCTGTATATGTTCACAGCCTCAAAAACAAAACGTATATTGCAATGGCTTTAAAAAAGCAAACAAAGCACCTCCATCCTGTGATAAGTACCTCAAATGGATTCAGCTTTACTCCTTTGTAACTCATCATTATATTTCAATATATTTAAAGAAACCAACAAATGAAATACTAGTAGTTAAAAGGCTGATCATGTGGCTTTGCAGTGCTCTTCATCCAGAAGCATGGCACACAATGCTTATGCATGTGGAAACTTAGCAACTGTCAACATACATTCTCAGGGATTTATCAAAATAAATTTTTTAAAGTATGAGAGCATTTATTGTACTGTATATATATTATAGTATATGTCTGATTATTGAAAAAATCTAACATTAATTTATAAAAAAATTCAAATCTATGTAATGCAAAATACTTGAAGCTGCAGTAGCTTGGTTTTAAAGAAAAACTATCTGAAGGACTAAAGTGCGCCTTGCTTCAGGGTTGGCTGGGTTGGCTCAGGTGGTGAACTATATGCTAGGCATCTATTCAGAGCCATCTTTTGTATTGCATGGTTGGAATGATACCTACTGGGGAAGTTTTATATATGTGTGTGTATATATATATGTATACACACATAAAAACATACTTGTAACAGGCACTACAGTAAAGAGGGATAACAAAAAATACACAGCCAGAGCAGCAAGCCTTAGCATTAAGAATACAGTATGCCAGAATTGGGGTTTGTGCCTCCTAGCCTGGAAAACTTAAAGAAACATAATTTTTGACAAAAAATGCAAAATTATTGACATGATACATTACGCCTTTGCAGTGAGCTAAAAATAAGCTAACCTTTGTGCACAAATATATATATATATTATATATATTCTGCATATGTATTTTGACTGTGCAGGACAGAAAGTTATGTAGGTATGACTGTTCTACTTTTCCGTTCATTTTTCTAATATATTTTTTCTCTAGAACTGCTCAAACAAAAGCAGCCTTCTATCTTGCCTTGTCTTAATGCTTTAAATTAACCGAACTGGAGATCTAACTACCAAACCGTTCTTTATATTATTAAATACCAACTTCGATTACAGTATCATGCCTTTGCTTTAGCTGATGGTTCTGTATCCTTGTGCTTTTAAAAACAGATTTTGTTTTGGTGCAAAAGTTGTCCAGTGTCTATTGTTCCCTTCATTAGAGAACATGCTAGAGGTATGTTTGTAGGTATTTTTGTTTAGAAAAACTATTTCATGCTCTCAATTTTATTTATTGTAATAGGTAAAAAGGTTGTACTTCATTACCCATGTAAACATGCTCATGAAGTTGAAATTAAGATTTGATACAATGATATCAATTTATTTATGTAACTAAATCACACTGTTTTATAAACTTGTTACTGATAACAAATTTTTTTTGTTTTGATTAAAATTAGTTTTTTGAAAGTTGATTCTGCCTCCATTATGGTGTCTGTTGCTGGTGTTAAATTATGTATGGAAAGTTCATAGATCTTAAAAGCCCAGCTTGCAACTTTGATGCCTTATGGTGAGAAGCAATATAACCAAGAAAGAAGTGCTTTGTTCCTCAAAAAATCTGCTGAGGAACAGTAGTGTTCACAATCACAACAGCTTCTTTGCTCATGCAGGAAGGCTTGGTGCATCACAGGGACCAAATGCTGACTGCAATTAAAGATGTGTGGTCTATACAATGAACTATAAGCCTTTACATATTGCCCTGGTGGAATGGAAGAGTGTGTGGGAGCATGTTTCCACTCAGTGGATTATTTGGGTGACTATGAAAGTTGACATGTGCTGCAGATATATACAAGGACAGTTCTTGCTGTTCTTTGGATTTTATAAAGCATTTTGTGTATTCTGAACAGTGCAACTCACTCCACTCAGCATGGAGTTCTTGCTCACCAACTAACAGACATAATTTCTGCGTTTTTGGAGTCTGCTCTGCAAGATGTGTGTAAGTTTTCCAGCCCTTAGTGAATCATGCCATACAGAATGGTTGAAAATTGAAGAGGAGTGATCTGCTTTACCAAGATCTTCATCATCTCAGGTATGTTATATGATGCCATATTTGGCTATATGATCTAAACACCTTCACTTTCTTTTTTTTAGTATCTTCATTTGAAAACAGAATTAGCATGCAGCACACAACTATCAGAGGTGCCAATGTACCCATGAATTATAACAGTGACATTTATGTCACTGGAAGATTAATGAGGAAAAGACCTGAATCTTTGCACAACTTGTCATGTAAATATATGAGTCTTTACCAAGCCTTGCTAACAACTGAGTTGTCCTGACCTGGTAGTACTAACATTGTGTAGCTTCTGTAACTTCTACGCCTTCCAAATATTGAATTCACATGACATGTTTGCTTCATTACTTTGTCTTAGAATAATTTTCTGATACAGACAATAAGGAATGAGAAGGATGCTCCATTCTGTAAAAGGATTTGTGTGGGTGTTGGGGTTTTTTTTGCCTCTTACAAATAATTCAGTATTATGGATATTGTGGATTATATAGATTGCAAAACTGAAGCCTATTTGAAGACAAAGGCTTTACAATGAAATGTGATCTTGATGGTTGCCACCTGCTTTTGACAAGCACAATGGCTTATTCTTCTTTCAGAACTGATCAAAGTTTGACTTGTTTTCATGACTGATTGAAATCTCTTTATATCCTCAGTGGTGCTGCACAGTGCAGTTCTGTCTTGGTTTGGAAAGACAGGTGTCTGCTAAAGAAGGCAGGACCCTCCCCTGAAATGAAAAAAAAAAAAATGTAAATCCCTTCCCTCTGAATTGTTATAAATTTGAAATTAAGGGGGAATCTCAGGCAAAAATATGGGAGCAGGAATACCAGTTCTTTATTAGGGAAGAAAATTTTTTAAAAATAAATAAACAATGCAGGAAACCAAAACAACACTGACAGAGTCAGAATACAACCTGACACCCTGTTAGTCAGGGTGTTGGCAGCAGTCCAATTGGGAATTATTGCTGCAGTCCTCTTGGAGTGGCAGGTGTGGTTCTGTTTGAGCAGTGATCCAGTAAAAAAGGGGTGTAGTTTTCCTGCAGTGGAAGAGGCAGCTATTCTACTGGGAAATCCAGTGCAGGAAAAGCCGTGCTGGTGTTCCAGAAATTCAAGATTATATCCAGTTAGGAATGTTTGGCTCCTCCCTCTGTGCGGAGCATCACACAATGGGATGTTATAGATCTTATCAGTCATGGAGTGATATTCAATAGCCCATTATCAGCAGATGTCTCCTCTGAGAGAGGATTGGTTGTGGAAGAGATAAGGAAAACGGCTCACTTAACAGAAGACAACTGCTACACAGATGGTAATAGAATAAATCTTGTTTCTCAGTCTGGGACAAATTCACACCATGTGTTTGCCCTACATGTATTTCTGGTCCCGAGGTTTTTTTGAGGTCTTAATATCTCTATGGTCCTTAGGTTTATTTTCTTATCCAAAAATAGCTTTGGTATTGTCCCTAATATGTAGTTTTTGCAGTAGAAGGGCACTGACTAGAAGAGCTATTGGGCTGGGCTTGGTGGTAATGACTTGTAGGAACTTTATAAAGGTGCTAAAGTCTGTTCCAGGTATGTATGGTTCATGGTTATCGTTATGCATCCAGTTTGTTTGGCTTCCCTTCTTCTCTGAATCTGTTACCTCCCTATTAGAGAATCTTCAGTTTCCCCTGACTGTTAAAGAGACCATCTTTCTGGTGTTTAATCTGGTAAGCTTTCTCTATAAAGTCTGCAGTCTTGCTAGAATGAGGGCTGAGATTTCTAGAGGGGCTGATGAGACCCCTGACCCAGGAGTAGACCCAGGAGTGGAAAATCCTGAGTGGTGTGGGAAATGGGAGGATATGGGCCGAATCTTAAAGGAATTTTCTGACCCTATCGTCTGGGACTTTCCACGTGAACAAACTCAGAACCCAGCTGAGGTGGGGAAATACCTGAAAGAGAAGTGCCATGATGACCCTAAGGAGAAAAAGAACATTGCAGTAAGCTGGGCCCTGGCATATGCTTATTGCACCCTGCTAGATTCTGTAGGTAAGCAGACAGAGGAAGAGGGGCAGGGAGATAAATCAACAACTGTCCCAGTGACTCAGGATATAACCAACACCCCAGTTACGAAGCCAATAACTAAACCAGACAGTGAACCTAAGCCAGCAGCTAAACCACAGTAAACCTCAACCAATTGCTACTAACACAAGAAGCGGAAAGTGCACAGACAAGACCGATCAAGTAGATGATGATGATTATGATAGAGAAAGACCCTCAGTGCTTTCTGACATAAAATCAGGAGTCAAAGCAACTAGCACAAGGTCAGAAACCAATATTGAGTCCTTTTCACTGAAGGACCTTCATGGCCTAAGAAAGGATTACACTCTATGACCTGATAAATCTATAATTAGTTAGTCCATCTTTAAGATGGTACAAGCGAGGCTACAATTCTAAATGGCACTAAAGAAAGGCATTTGGGATCCCTATCACATGATCCTGCCATTGACCAAGGAATGATAAGGGGGGCTAACCCTCACAGCCTCTGGGCACAGGTCCTGGAAACTGTAGCACAAAGATATCTGTGTGCAGACGATTTCTATATGGAGCAGACTCAGTGGAAGACCATAGAACAAAGGATCCAACGCCTGTGAGAAATGGCAGTGTGGCAGTGGCAGAGATTATCTTCTCAGATGACATAACAATTAGAAATCCAGACTTAGTACCACGTACATCTGTGATGTGGCAAAAACTTGTATGACTTAGACCACAAGAATATGCTTCTGCTTTAGCAAAAATAAAGCGGGATAACAGGGATGAAACCAAAGCCAGGGACCTCACTAGACAGGAAAGCTGGACTGGACAAACGCAGATCAGGCCAATATGGTCAATCAAACATTCTCCCTTTATTAGTTAGAAGATAGCAGTTTATATACACTTCAGTATAGTTTATAGTTTACAAAGGCACTCTCATTGGCAAGCTAACATTGTTTACCTTTGCCTTAAGGTGGTCAGGCTTTTCACACTGCAGCTCTACCCTAATTCACACTCAGATAGCTCATTACTTTGTAGTCACCTTAACATAATTTTTAACTGCGCCACAACTAATTTCTTACTACGCAAAAGGCTTCCAGGCCCCACCAAGGCCACTTATCAGGGGTCTAGTCTGAGGGGTATCTCAATTCTCATTCCAGACATAAATCATGCCCTCTCTCTCTCAGAAATTCTGCAACATGAAACTGTGCTTAATATAGCGAAAAAGCTCCAAGCATATACAGATGCTGTACACAGCCCAACACATGCTAGAATCATGGCAGTGGAAACCTGTCTACAGAAATTAGAAGACAAGATAGAGGAGAATCATAAGAAAATCAGAGAGGACATTAAAGAGTGTTGTATCGAATGCCTCATGGGATCTATTGGCTAGCTCTGGATATCAGCTTCACCGACAAGGAGAACAGCAAAATATGAGAAGTGCTCTTCCTTCTCAGGACCAAGTCCCAGTTTATTGTGAAAGGGAGCAATGGTGTCCAGGAAAAGGAAGAGTTCAGGGGTCTTGTGGCAGGAGATTTTAAACCCAGGGGGTGGGGGGCAGAGGAGAGGGACCACAGCCAATGGGATACAACTGATGGGAGGAATGAACCCAGGGGAAGACCACCACCACAGGACTTTGGGGGGAATACAGAACAAGCCATGTGATACAACATAAACTATTCAGTGCAAAATATGAAACTACCCAGTGCAAAATAATAACTAAATAAACTACTTTGTGCAACACAACACTTCCCCCTTTCCTTTAAAAAAAAATTTAAAAGAAAAGCGTCGGGCCTATTCTGATCCAGAATATGAATTTGTCCACCACTTATGATTTGTGGGCCTGTTAGATTGTCTTTAGTCCACAAACTCTCTGCAGTTGACTTCTGAGGTAGTGGGGATTAAACTGTTGATGGCTTTTAAAATAAAGCAACGTCGAACTCTGAATGCTAATGCAATTAGGAAAATGACAACAAAAACCAACAGTATTGTTTTAACTATTGAAGTCCACAACCCTGAGAGTCCCCAGTCCTTGAACAGTCCGCTAAACCAGTCTTTGGATTCTTGCTTTATTTGTCCGATCACGCTTTTCACTTCTCAGAGAGCTGCGTGGACTTTGGGTGCTTTCAAGGTCAAATTCAAGCAACAAAGTCCTTCAAATTCCTGGCACTCATGTCCGTGCAGCAGCAGAAGGAAGTCTATGGCTGCATGATTTTGGAGTGTGGCCTGCCTGGTAATCTCCTCAACCTCTAGGAGGGAGCTGATGGTGGTGGATGTCAAATTCACTTGTTTGAGCACCCAGCACTCTAGGTGGCCCAATTCACCTAGAGCTTTGGCTGCTGCGACCCATGGAAGGAACAGGGATACACTAACTCTTTTTGACTTGGCCCAATGAAAAA